ATTGAGGTTTTTCAGGGCAAGAGGATGAGGAGGTTTTTGAGTTTCTAGACCTATCTGAGACAAGAGGCAGAGACCCTTTGCCCCAGCGACAGAACATGACTGTTGGCTACCGGTTTTGTCCCATTTTCATTTCTACCTAATGACCATAGCAGGCTAGTGAACACTGGCAAGGAATGTGGGACTTGCAGGCAGCAAACTGATATCAGGAGAGCACTAGGTCTTTGCTTCACCTTCAATTGCAAGATAATTCTCCCTTCAAAGAGGAGGAGGATTTCACCAGAGCAAAGGAACAAGCAAAAGATCTTTTACTTCTGCAGAGTAGTGGCTACTGCAGCAAGATACGGACCATGATTCCTGTTGCTCTTTCCATTGCTTTCATCAACTTGCTCCATGATGCTGAATTGGACCCTATGCCTCTGCATTCTTGCAACCACGTGGAAACTGGAATGAGAGCTAACAAAGTGGACTGGTCATCTCACTCTGTCAGAGCAGGCAGGGAAGCCTCTAGCCCCTGTGTTTTACTATGTTACCTGAGGCACGGAGTGCAGCTTTTCCAGTTGTTTTTAAAGTATCAGCAATTTGTTGGGCAAAAGGGCCCAGAAAAGGCAAAATAGCCAGTCTGTGACCAGCATAGGAAGGCACAACTGGCAGCACTCAGTCAGTTGTTCAAACTGAAATGGAGATGGAGAGAAAACTCCTTAGTGCACCTCACCTCATGACACTGGGTTAGACAGAAGTAGCCAGCGCAGCAGAAGACTGGGCTCTGCATAATTAGCTGGAAAACTGATAGTTACTTGATTAATCATGGCATGGGAAGGTATCAGGTTAGATATTAGGAAAAATTTCTTTGCGGAAGGAGTAGTCAAGTATTGGAACAAGCTCCCCAAGGAAGTGGTGGAGTCACCGTCCCTGGCACTGTTCAAGAAATGTGTAGATCAGCCCTTAGGGACATGGTTTAGCAGGCATGGATGTGATAGGTTTATGGTTGGACTTGATGATCTTGAAGGCTTTCCCCAACCATAGTGATTCTATGATCAGTATGGCTGTGGGCCCCCTTCTGTGGTAATGAATTTTGAGGGCTGTGCTGCGTTTTCAGTGATACTGATGGACACAGACAAGGCAAGGGAATGAGGAACTTAGATTTGCTCGTCACGAAACATGAGTTTTCAGGAAACTTCCCAACCGTAGTGATTCTATGATCAGTATGGCTGTGGGCACCCTTCTGTGGTAATGAATTTTGAGGGCTGCGCTGCGTTTTCAGTGATACTGATGGATACAGACGAGGCAAGGGAATGAGGGAGAACTTAGATTTGCTCATCACGAAACATGAGTTTTCAGGAAACTTTGGGATGAGCATTGTAGTGGGAAATATTTGGTGTACTTTTTGGATTGGTATCAGTATACATGACTGATTGTAAATATTCCCTCAAAGGGTGTTCCTGGGAGCTGTGTTCCTTTGGAGGATTTATGCAAGGTGAAATAGAAATGCGAAGAAATCCCATCATGTGCTGCTGAAGTGTCTGTACCCACTGAATGAGATTTATCAGTTTGCAAGTGATAGAGATGAATCAGGCATGTTGGTAGTTACAAGTATAGCTGGGGAAGAGGGAGATCTCTGAACAGTTTGTGTGGGTAGGCACTGACTGTGGTCATAATTTCCTGCTCTTCATGTTGCCTGGTAGGACACTGGTGAGAAGGCGCTGCAGGCAGATGTGATTGCTAATTAGTATTTGCAGATTTGCACTATTGGTGGGTCTGGCCAAGTGGACCAACATTTTCATTTCCTACACGTGCTTCTGATTTCAGTGGTTTTCAGTGCTACTGATGGATGCAAACAAGGCAAGTTCATCAGGGAGAACTGAGATTTGCTCATCAGTAAACATGATTTGTCAGGAAACTTCAGGATGAGCATTGTGATGAAAAATACTTTGATGGAAGCTTTTTGCTCCATGCTATACCCAGTAGAGGTGTTCTAGCAGGACAAGGCCACTTGATGAATGGAAAAGGCCCCTTTGTTTTTAGGCACAAGCACGGCTGCGTGGCACATTGACTAGAGCACAGGTCTGGGACTCAGATGCACTTCAGTTATGGAGCAAGGCCTGCATGTGAGCAGCTGCAAGGATTAAACAGTCGTTAAGGACAGGAGAACATTACATGTGTATGAGAGTGTTTCTGGTTGTCCAAGTACTCCAAAGTACTTTTAGTCAGGGGCTCTGAACAGTCCTGAGTGTTGCTTGCTCTTTCTAACCAGTTCTCACAGTGTGTAAGTATGCTGTGCTTGTCCTGATCTCTGAGTAAGGACTAAACTATGCACAGTCAGGTAATGAGAGATAGCAAAAATAAGATAGCTGTCCAACCACACATCTGCTGCACTTCCTGGAGACTACAGGGTGAAATGCACCATCCTGCGAGGAAGAGAGACTTGTGATCCCCGAGGTGAAAGCACTGCCCTGGACAGGGCCAAAGCTTGGAACAGGGGAACAGCTGTAGTTGTGTAGAGCATGAAACCTGGCTGTTCTCTCTGATTTCCTGCCCCAGTGGGAGGTTGTCCCACATGCACCCAGACACATCAGAACAGGGACTTAGGCCATGTTTGATTTTCACTTCCTTTCCTGTGTCTCCATGCCTTAATGCTCCCTCTCAGGCCTTTTGAGATCATCATCCTTCTGACCATCTTTGCCAACTGTGTGGCGCTGGCCATCTACCTGCCTATGCCTGAGGACGACACCAACATTGCAAACTCCAGCCTGGTAAGACACAGTCCCTTCCTCTACCACAGCATTTCCAGAAAGTTTGAGATTTTCCAAGCTCAAGTGCAGTCACGCAGGTGATTGTAACTTTCAAAGACCGCCCTGTAAGGATTTGCAGATAGAATTCACACGAGGTGCAGAATTTTGTCAACCAAAATTCATTTTCAGAGATGAAAAATATACCTTCCATGACCTGCAAATGTTCTATGAATCCCCCCCCCCAAAAAAAAATCACAGTTGAGGAGAAGATTTTGAATCCATTTCCCCATATCTTGAGGATATACGGAATAAATTGATATGGGGAATAAATGGAATAAATTGAATTGAACAGCACAGTTGTTCAATGTTGGCATATTTCGTTTTTAATCCTTCCTATTTTTTCAAAGTGTAATTCTATTAAATGCAAAATCTTTTCCTCAACTCTAATGAAATATTTTTGACTTTTCAAATTAATCAGAATTTTAGAGCATTCATTTTCACTTTCACTTGAGTTTTCAAAATTGTCAGTGCGTTCAAAATCCAAGTTTTTTTTTTTTCGTTAGTCACCTTCCTCTAGGAGCCCTTTGCATTCCAAGTTCTGAGGAGTCCTCTGAGAAAATACAGGTGTCTGCATGTGAGGTAGTGGTTTGACTCTATCAATACTCAATGGAAAAAATAAAGGCAAATTTATGAGTGGGATTTGTCTCCTAGGCCATGTTCGTGTTATGATAAATTATGATGAGTGTCTCTTGGCACACTTTGGACACTTACAGTACCTATTTCTCCCTGCTAGTTGGACCCAAGAGTGACTCCTCAGATAGAGCCCTCCACATCAGGGCAGCTAAAAGTAGCACAGCTGAATCCTATGTGCTGTGTAAACATATCACATAGAGCATGATGCCCAGTAAACAGGACAAAACTGGGATTCAAGCTGTGCGGAAGGCACTCTGTTAGTAACACATAGATTTTGTTGTTGTTTAGGCAAAATTAATGTTTAATATAAGGGAATATGTTTCCAAAAATCCCACCATTACGAGCTGCTTTGGGTCGTGTTTCAGTCATGGGATCCCTGTGTTTCAGGACTGTGAAGCCTGAATACAGCCCAGCACAGAATTTATTCATATTAATGTGGGCATCTAGTCCAGTCCTACGTGTCCCTGACCTCCACCTGCTCCTCTGGAAGGGCATGAGTCTCTTGCGGGTCTTGTGGAACATTTGCCAGCCCCAAGGATGTCTCAGATAGCCCAGGTCATCTCCAGTAACATTGAAAACAGCAAAATTTAGGAAGCTGACCCGAGCAATTCTTGAACAATGATTCTCAATGCCTGTTTCTGAGAACTAGCATGGATCACTTGCTGCAGAAAGGTCCTTATGAGCATCTTCCCTAGAGTTTGGGATCACCCTTGAATTCATGGGATCCCATAATAACTGTGAGAATGGACCATGCACTGCACATCTCCATGGACAGCCTTGGTGCATGAGATGTTAGGAACTGCTGCTGCTCCTTGACCAGAATCCCAAGGGATGCACATAACCAAGCAGCTACATGCACATCACTTCTTCACTGTGGACTGTGATGATTAGGGGCCTGGCATCCTGCCCAGCTTGTGGTTTGCCAGTTCTGACAGTTTGATTGTGGAGTGTCCTTCTCTGGAGATACTCAAATCCTGCCTGGGCAGGGAAGTTGGACTAGATGATTTCCATTTTACCAGTTAACCCGTCCAATCTCATCCATTCTGTGATTTTGTGGCATCTGGCATGTTGTTTACTGCTTTGGACATGCTGATTGATCAAGCAATGTTCCTATCTATTCTCTGATTGTAATGGGCAGTATTTTAGGTTCGACAAGCCAGGCAGACCCTGGGAGGAAGGTGTACAGGGTATCGTGTGCTTGCACTAGGTCGAGTGCTGCAGGCCATCCCCAACAGAGAACTATGTGCAGGTTTGGTCCCAGGTTGACATTTTTGCCTTTCTAGGTGCAATTCCCTGCAGAGCCCAAACAGGGATGCCTCCCAGCCTCCAGCAATTGCTGATCCCTGGGGTGCAGATGGAGGACAGGGTGTATGGAAAGCTTGAAATATAAATACCCTCATCCATCTGTCTGCTTCAAATGCATTTTAATCTCTGTCTGGAAAAGGCCATCAGCAGCAAGGGCAGTGATCAGAGTGACAGACAGAGCCAAGTGGGCACAGACAGCTACACCCATGTAAAGGCAGGCTATTTTGGGCCCTGTGGCTGCTGAGGATTGTATTCAGCCACTGCAGTTGGATGCCAGACCCAATGTGGGAGCAGATAAAGTGTCTACAGTGCCCCTGCTTCTTCTCCTAAGGGGAGGCATGCCATGCCCCGTCCTTAAGTGCCTGCAGGGGTGGGAAAGTATATATTGCTGCAGGGGGTCTTTTGGGGAAGAATTTACCCAGTAGACAGAGAGAGAAGGAAAAAAAAAATGGGCAGTTTTCACCCAACCTGCTTTTCAGATCACTCCCTCCCCGTCTCCCCTCTTCTCTGTCTCCTCCCACCCGCAGAGGAGTTGAGGAAACACTTGCTGGGCCAGTTTCTCTCTAGAAACTCGCTCTACTGGGCATGTCTGCCATCCATATTTATGACATTCGATACGGCCTCACTTCCCTTGGGAACTTGGAGTCCAAGGGGAACCGCCGTGTTGCCCAGCTCACTGCACGGAGACTACACAGCCCTATCCTCAGACAGAGAAGATGAGGAGAAGGAAGCAATGCAGACTGTGGGAGGAAGGCCAGGCAGTGGTGGGAGGATGTGGTACTAGGGAGAGAAACTGGAGATGTACAATGTCCTGGACAAGGCACCTTTGGGTACTGGCTTAGGAAATGGTGGATCTGCTGATGTATTTTATAAGAACTTGCATTCTTGCCCAGGAGCCTGTTCCTAACAGCTTGGAACGTGCAGCAGGCCAGAGAGTAGCCAGAGGTGGCTTAGAGCGTCATCCGCAACCTCAAGGCAGCCAAGTTGGTCTCTGGTATACACAGGAGATCACAGCATAGGTAGCGAGGACAGATACAGGAACCCGTAACCTCCAGTTGTGCAGGGTGGTGACACAGGGGAGGTGTCAGTCTGCACTAACAGTGTCCTGTCCTGCTTCTCTTTGCAATCCCCAGGAGAAGATGGAAATCGCCTTCCTGATCTTCTTTGCCATTGAGGCGATGCTCAAGATAATTGCCTACGGCTTTCTTTTCCATACAGACGCCTACCTCCGAAATGGCTGGAATGTGCTTGACTTCTCCATCGTGTCCCTGGGGTAATGTGAAGAGGGGAAGCTGCTGATGTTCAGCTTGCCCCAGCTCTCATCCATATCCCATCAGTTAGATCATCTTTTCTAGTGACCGCCGTGAGTTTGGGAGAAGCCTGTAGTGTTGATTTATGCCTTTTCCCATGTGGTCCACTTTTATTGCCCTGCCCTTTCCTCTGGGTTCCTCTGTAACTCCTGTTTCTTTTCATTATTCCTTCATGTCTGTCAGATTTCCTCGATCTGGAGAATGTGAGTGGAGTCCTTTGGGATTTGGCACAAAGAATGGGTCCACTGGGCATCAGGGGGGTGGGAGGGGTCCCAGGTGCCTCGCAGAGCGGATTAGATCCCAGCAGATGGGTGTCCAGCAGTGGGTGTACCCATGAGCTGGCCTTAGCCAGGAGTCATTCTGTAGGTTTGGCTCAACTTGGCTGTGGAGTTCTAACTCCCTAGCACAGATTTCTTAATTTCCATCCTCATGCCCTTCTCTTCCTCCCTTTACCTCCTCCCCTGCCCTGTGCCCTGGTTCTTACAGGCTTTTCACCATGACTCTGGAGCAGATCAATGCCAAGGAAGGAGGGTCTTCAGGAGGGAAAGGTGGATTTGACGTGAAGGCCCTGCGAGCATTTCGTGTGCTGAGACCCCTGCGGCTGGTGTCTGGAGTGCCAAGTGGGTGCTCTTTACCCTGTGAGAGGGTGGATGTGCATCCCTGTCCCTTTCTGGAATGGGGGGCCATGGGACAGGTTTCACACTGCTCTTCGGCCACGCCTTACCAGAATATGGAGTTATAAATTTTCACTCAGCCCTGCAGTTTGTGTTGTCAACAGCAGTATTTTGCAGGTCACAGCACACATAACTCCCTTCAGGGCTCAGCATCAGCACTTCTTTGTAGGATTTGGAAAGGGGGCCAGAATTTCTCCTCAGTTTCTCTCCAGGCAGGGATCTTGTTCTCCTGTGGCTCATGTGAATATAAGCAGGATGAAAGGAACAGAACAAATGAAGGGGTACGAACCACACTCCAGTAATATCTGGCAGTGCCTCTTATGGGGTCTCCCAGCTGCTCACATGGTGGGTAGAGAAGGGAACTCTTGCTCCAGAGCTTTCAGTCCCACCTCACCTGTGCCAGCTTTTGATGTTGCCCTTCTTTTTTTCAAGGGGTATTTTGAGTAGGTCTTGGAGAGGCCAGAAGTGTGCAAGGCATGGACAAGGTTGGTTGGGAAGGGGCTGACCTCCTCTCCCTTCTCTCTGGTATAGGTCTTCAGGTTGTCCTGAACTCCATTATCAAGGCCATGGTACCCCTGCTCCACATCGCCCTGTTGGTCCTCTTCATGATCATTATCTATGCCATTGTTGGGCAAGAGCTGTTCAAGGGCAAGATGCACAAGACCTGCTACTACATCGGGACAGGTGAGGCTGTGGCATGCAGCAGCAGGATGGACATGTTTGTACGTGGCTACTCTGGGAACCACTGCTAGCATCTGACTAGCATCTGGCACGGGAACGTGGCAGGGAGGAAAGTTATTTGCTAGAGGGCACAGCTGTGATGATGATACATGATGTGGAGAAGGAGATGAATGGAGTCCCTTCTGGAATGCTTCACTAGGAGGTTGGGAGGTACTGGGATCTGCACTCCTTATCCTATCCTGCTGCTTATACCACAGCTTTTTCCCTCAGATGTGATTGCCACGGTGGAGCCAGAGAAGCCAGCCCCATGTACCAGCTCTGGCCACGGGCGTCATTGCACTATCAACGGCACTGAGTGCCGAAGCGGTTGGCCAGGGCCCAACGACGGCATTACCCACTTTGATAACTTTGGCTTTGCCATGCTTACAGTCTACCAGTGCATCACCATGGAGGGCTGGACTGAAGTTCTCTACTGGGTAAGCTCCAGCAACCTGCCCATGGTGCCCAGCTCAGCACACTAGTTCCCTACATCACGGGGGGCAATTCCAACCAGTACACGCTACCCCTTACCAGGGCTAAGGTCTGCATCTTTGAAAGACATTTTTGCCCCTCTGCAAGCTTCATCCTGCAATTTCCATTCCATTAACCAGGCACATCTGCATCTCTTCTGAGCAACACTGCCTGAGGTTAGCTCTCTTCAGACAGGCAGAAGTCTGGTCTAAGAGTGCTTCAGCTCCTACCTTTGCCACTGACTGGTCGGAGGATGCCCTAATTTTTCATTAATAGGACAGGTTTGGCCTCCAGAGTACCTGTTTGCTGGAGCTTTTCAGAAGCCCAGTGATCTACTCACATTATTGTCAAGCCTTTGAGGGCATAGGGGAGAGGTATGGATTGGGCCGAGGCCTGGCTGACTGGTGAGTGCTTCTCCAGGACTGTGTCTTGCTGTCCTAGGGAGAATATCTTTATGAGGTTTGGGCTGAACTCTGCTTCCCAAGAGCTTGAATTTGGCTTTATCTCCCCTAAGGATATGTATAGGTTTATGTGCTGTCAGCCCAAACTTTCCTATCATCGCATAGAGCTCCCACAGGCTTCTAAGAGGTCCCCAGAGAAGAAACACGGCTTAAACACCACCCCCAATTTCAGGATGTCTCATCTGCTTTTCTTCTTGCAAGGTGAATGATGCCATTGGGAACGAATGGCCCTGGATCTACTTTGTCAGCCTTATTCTGCTCGGTTCCTTCTTTGTTCTCAACCTCGTACTGGGGGTGCTGAGTGGGTAAGTGCTGACCTATCCTTTCTCTTTGCCAGAAGATGAATGAGCTGAGCATGGGCCTTAGCTGGTTTTAACCGTATGAGAAGTAAGCCTAGAAAAGTTTTCGTTCATTTTCCTTTCCCATTTCCTTTTCCCTTGCGTATTTAGAAACACTGAGCATTGAGTTACCTGCTGGTAACTCCAAGACGTTAGCGTGACACTCAAAGAAAACTCTCTGTAGCATAAATAGATGCTAACGAATGCAAGACATCCATTCTCTCTTATTGGATGTCTGTGTCCTGTTGTGAAGCTCACATGTTTTTCTTATGGGCAACATAATGACACATCTTTGATGTGAGTGCAAGAGATATAGGAGATTACTATTATTATAATTAATATTTCAGCAGTCTAATTGAAGTACAACAACCAGTTAATGTTACTCAGGTTACATGATCCTAACACTTAATGCCAAATTATCCAATTGCTGCTAATTACTATGATAACATAATTAAAGTTGTTATGCACATGGTGTATCACTCACCCTGTCAGACATACTTTCTCCCTGCTGCTGTGAAAGGGATGTCCTGATTACTTGCCCTGTGATGAACTCACCTTTCCCACATGGAGAACTTGGGACAGCTTTGTGTCCCTCCAGATGGGACCCTGCTTGTTCTGGCATTTGGCAGGACTAGGGATCTCCTGCAGCCTCTGCAGCACTGCAGCATCCAGTGGTAGCTTGTCTAAACGCAGCTATCTGCAACAAGGAGCTCCCAAAGAAGAGCCAGTGATGGGGAAGAAACCCTGCCTGGCATCAAAGAGATGATGATCCCCCATGTTCTTGCATCATGCAACAGAGTCAAGAGTAAGGAGAGTCAGTAGAGCTGTCTCTTAGGGTAGGGTGTTTCAGGCTTTTATCTTTCTATGAAGACTGCCCTAGGACAGAGATGTGGCTCACTCTGTTGCGTGTCTTGTCTCAGTGAGTTCACCAAAGAACGTGAGAAGGCCAAGTCACGGGGCACATTTCAGAAGCTGCGGGAGAAGCAGCAGCTGGAGGAGGATCTGAAGGGTTACATGGACTGGATCACCCACGCTGAAGTCATGGACAGCGAGCGGGCCAGAGGTGAAGGTACCAGCTCTGCCTGAGCAAAGATTCTTAGTGTGGAGATTGGGTTCCTAACATTGAGCGTTCTGGAGGGTTTTGTTTGAAAATCTATGGAACAAAAGGTTTTGAATTCTGCAGAACATTCTCCTTCCTCTTTTTTCCTTTTCTGAAATATTTTATTGAATTTGATTCAAGCAAGCAGATAACTTGGCCCTTGTGCAAAACCTCCATCTCAGCCACTCTATTTAATATTTGCAGAAAGTAATGCTTTGTAGTATTCCTTTTTAGGCCAACTCATCTCTCTTTTACAAAATGCACTTAAAATGGTCAGGAGAAGCCATGCTTGTGTGCACTTGTTTGTGTAGGGGCAGAGAGTGGGGTTGCTAACTCACATATTAAGAGATCCATGAGTTTCCTGACATTGTTTGACAGTTTGAAAGATTAGTCATAGTTCAGGGCAGGAGATGAAAAAAACGTCTAGTCAAGGGTGCATCCTGGAGTTCTCTGGCACTGAGGGGTTTGTGAGTCAGTCATGTCCCTTGTCAGTGTTTTGCAAGCCAACAAAAAATGTAGTAAATTCTGATGCCCTAAGCTGAGCTGATACATGTGTGCAAAAGACCTTGGGAAACAATGGAAAAGATCCAAGTTCACACCTGCACGCGGTGTTTTTAAACACCTCCTGTTGTGCAGCACTCTCTTGGATCACTATGAATCCCAGTTTTTCTCTGTTCTGAAAGCATCTTGCATGATGGGGAACTTACCTATATACTACTGGCTGTTCAGCCTTAGCCACTGGTTTGCTGTTGCTCTTCCTGTAGTGCAGGCATTCCCAGTTCCTTCTGCTTTCTTGATTTGCGTGGTACAGTCAAAACCAGCTGTCAGAGCTCTACCCGCTGTCTCCTTGGAACTGTGTTTCTTGTATTCACTTCAAGTAGGGAAGCTCTTTCAGATGTACTCCTGGAGGAGGTTCTTTCCCTGGTGTTTTTCCCAAGGGCTCCAAGAAAAGCTTGCAATATTCCTCCTCCTGTAGGCATGATGCCATTGGATGAAGGAGGATCGGAGACTGAGAGCTTGTATGAAATAGAAGGCATGAACAAATGGATTGTCTACTTGTGAGTATGCACTTGTTGAACCATCTGTTACCTCGCACATGGGCTTGCACACTCTCTCTCTTGCCACCCTAGCTGTGCCAGGCTTTCTTTTTACCACACTTCCTTGAGGAAAGCTGAGGGCTCAGTGTTAAGGAGCATATCCAGCATATCAGACAGCAGGGAATTTGGCTCCGGTATTGGAAAGAAGCCAATTCAGGGTAAATTGCCTTTGGAACCAGGCTTCAGGCATCTGCTCCTACCCCATGCAGCATGACCTGTGATTTAGGAGCTGCACCCATGACAGGAAACTAGAAGTCATTGCAGGACAGAAAGGACTCAGGAGGCATCTATATGAAAGAACTGCAAAGCTTGAGTTAACATAGCCGATGAGCATGTCCCCTTATCCCAAAGTCCCCTGTTGTTAGTGGGGGTAGCACCATTCATTTCCCCAGCACTTACCTGGCCCTGTTCATGGCTGACCATCTCAGTCCCTCCCAGGGAAGGGCTCTGGATAAGGGAATAGGGCTAGTTCTACTTTGCTGTCCATAGTCACTGCCCCATGTGCCAGGGCTGGGCAGAACCTGCTGGCAAACCCTTCTCGTTTGTCTCCCTAGCCGCCAGTGGAGGCGTTGGAACCGGATGTTTCGTAGGAAGTGCAGGGATGTGGTGAAGTCCAAGTTCTTTTACTGGCTTGTTATACTGCTCGTGGCACTGAACACTCTGTCCATCGCCTCTGAACACCACTTCCAGCCTGAATGGCTAACAACAGTGCAAGGTGAGCAAAGAGCACCAGAGGGAGCAAGGGCTCTGGACACCCTGCTGCCCTGCAAACATGCACGCAGTCATTCCATATGTCACAACAGCACAGGGGCTGTTAGATACTCACATACCCAAACACTGTTTGCACACAAGTGTATGTGCACCATCAGCACAGTGCTGTCACACAGCAACAACAAATGGCACATGTTGTGTGCTTACACATGCAGAGTGTATACTCTTACGCCCTTGGTCTTGCACAATGTACACACAGAGTGCATATATATACCACTGAGCACACAAACTATACACACCGTGGCACTTGTGCATGAAGTATAGCCACACATGCACACACATGTAGTCACACCATATGCACTCACACATGAACACATGCATGCACACACAGAATACAGCCGTGTACACCTGAATTCACAGCCTAGCATACACACTCTGTATGCAGAGGCATGTATGTGGACAAACTGCATCCATTGACATGTATTGTATAACCATATTCACAAATGTAAGCACCTAGTTGTAGATTTGTCAACCATTTCCTTACCCTTCTCTCTTGGGTGCTCCTGAAAAGAAGTATTTGCACCAGCTGGCATTCAAGGGTCAGTGGTGGGCAAGGAAGGGAGATGGGCAGCACTGCCCTCATGCTGTGCTGTGCTGAGATGAAGAGGTCCGTGCTCTGATGGACTGCATCTCCCATCCTAGACAATGCCAACCGTGTACTGCTGTCCCTCTTTGCGGCTGAAATGCTGCTGAAGATGTATGCGCTGGGCCTGCGCCAGTACTTCATGTCCCTCTTCAACCGCTTTGACTGCTTTGTGGTGTGTGCGGGGATCCTGGAGACGATCCTGGTGGAACTCAGCACCCTGTCACCCCTGGGCATCTCTGTGCTGCGCTGCATCCGGCTCCTCCGCATCTTCAAGATCACCAGGTTGGTGCAGGAGCTCTGTGGACTCACTGGCCTTCCATGTCTCACTGGCCTTGTCCCTTCAGAGGACTGCAGTGTGAGAAGAGCTAGGAGGTTCTTGCAAGAGATTTGTCCATCCTGTGGATGAGGTTTAGGAGAGGGGAGGAAGGAGGAAGACAGAGCAGATGTTTCTGAAGGATTTCTAGAGGCTTTCACATCTTGCTCTGGATTCTGTGTGTTGTAAGCAGGGATTCTATGGGCTAGTCTCCTGGGTTCTCCTTCTGGCACTACATGTTCACCCCTCGCTCCTGCCTGGAGGAGCCCTGCATAGGCAGTGAGATATCTTGCACACTGCACTGGAGCTTTATTTCTACCTCCAGGAGCCTAGCTGAAGAAGCTCTTGCTTCCAACCCTGTGAATGTCACTGGACCAGAGCCCTCCTGATGGGCTGTTGATGCAACTCTCCGAGCAGGCTCCCCGGGTCCTGCCTGCAGCCAGTGCAGTCATTCCCCTTCCACACACTCCTGTCTCTTCCCTCTCCAGGTACTGGACATCTCTCAGCAACCTGGTGGCCTCCCTGCTCAACTCAGTCCGCTCTATTGCCTCCTTGCTCCTTCTCCTCTTCCTCTTCATTATTGTCTTTGCCTTGCTGGGCATGCAGCTCTTTGGAGGCAAGTATGACTTTGAAAATATGGAGGTGTTGCGCAGCACTTTTGACAACTTCCCCCAGGCTCTCATCAGTGTCTTCCAGGTATGAACTGTGGCAAACATGACACAGGGGTGGGAGACAGGATGCTGAGGTTTTTGCCCGGCCTGTGTGTCTCCTGGTGAGAGCCAAGGTGTGTGAGGTGGTGTGTCTTTGAGGCCAGAGCACCAAGATGAGACTGGGGCCATGGGAAGCAATGCTGGGTCAGAGATGGATGAAGGAGATGGGATCAGGCTATGGGATTCTGTCCTGCTCTAGTGCAGGTGCCTTGTAATTCCCATTCCTATCTCATGTTATCCCTGCTCTGCTCCCAGATCCTGACAGGAGAGGACTGGAATTCAATCATGTATAATGGGATCATGGCCTATGGGGGCCCATCCTTCCCTGGCATGCTGGTCTGCATCTACTTCATCATTCTTTTCGTCTGTGGCAACTGTATCCTCCACCTGTGAGTCAGGTCCAGGCTTCCTGTACCTTTATGCAGCTACCTATAACATCCCTAGGGAGACACTGCCTTAGCCCTTTTCGTGCTGAACAGCAATGGAACAAAACACAGGCTTCAGGGCTTTCGCTATTGGTGTTTGGAGTCCAGAGGCTGGAGGAAAGCAGACCACAGAGGCAGGTTTTGATGAAAGAAAGGCAAGTCTTCAGTCATCAGTCAATGCAGACACGAGCTTGAGCTGGATAAACTGAGCCAAGAGTCTCAGAGCCGAGGGCTTAGTGCAGGTGGGAGAGAGGGATGTGTGCAGAATCAAGGAACACCATCCAGGTGATCAAGGTGATAAAGGGGACCAAAAGCACAGCTCCAGGAATGTTTTTCAAGGCAGTCTGGAGATCATGAGCGGCCTGGCCGTATCCTTCAAAGGAGAACCATCTCTCACATGTCCTTAGCACTGTACCTCCAGATATCCTCCTCAATGTCTTCTTGGCTATTGCTGTCGATAACCTGGCCGAGGCTGAAAGTCTGACCTCAGCCCAGAAGGCCAAAGCAGAGGAGCGCAAGCGACGGAAGATGTCCAGGTGAGTGACATGGTCCCTGGCAGTGGGAGCTCCTAAACCAGGAGCTTTGGAGCACAAAGACACATGACAGCAGTGGTGCCTCTATCTTGGGTTAAGTGTTAAGTCTCCTTTCCTCTCCCCCTCTATCCTCTCTTCGCTTTTCCTCCAGAGGTTACCCAGAGAAGTCTGAAGATGAGAAGCAGCTGTTGGCAAAGAAGCTTGAGCAGAAAGCAAAGGGAGAAGGGATTCCCACAACAGCCAAGGTTGGTGGTAGTAGGGCCAGGTCTTAGGGAAGTCCTGGTGAAGGGTCAGGCAACTTTTGTGCCATGCAAATAAACTGCTTGCACTACATGGATCCCAGGCTACTATAGTCTGGCCAACATTCAGTGTTCAACAGCAATATTGGCACACTCATCTGCCTATCTTCTTCTTTTCCTCTCTCCTGTTTTAGTTAAAAGTGGACGAATTTGAATCCAACGTCAATGAGATCAAAGACCCCTACCCTTCTGCTGACTTTCCGGGTAAGTCTTGTCCCTGGAAAGAGAGCGGGAAGGTTGAGGAGACATTGCAGGGATGGTACCATGTAGCCACCCTAGCTATGTGAGGGGTGAAGGATGCGGTGACTCTTAACCAGCCTCAGGACAGTAAGATTTTTCTAGCACAGGAACACAATCATGGATCATAATCACAAGATCCACCACAGAGTCACATTCCCTCTCCCTCTCTGGATGACCTTTTCCTTTTCCCTCTCTGTGGCTACCTGCAGGTGATGATGAGGAAGATGAGCCTGAAATCCCTCTGAGCCCTCGGCCACGTCCTCTGGCAGAGCTACAGCTGAAAGAGAAGGCTGTGCCTATGCCTGAAGCCAGCTCCTTCTTCATCTTCAGCCCCACTAACAAGTAGGCACCCATCCTACTCCTGGCATGATGGAACCAGGACTGGCTTGGGTACCTCTAGCATCAACCATTCCCAACAGGGACTTGCACATAAAAGCCAGTCCTGGAGGTAGCCGGCTCACTGGGACAATGCAGTCTTCTCCATGGAAGAGCTAGCACAGAAATCCCTTCATGTCCAGGGTCCTCCTGTTCTCAAGGTTTAGACATAACCTTTTTCAGGCTACTGCAACCCCATCTAATAACCCTCCGACTCCATGACAGTGTTTCATGCCAACCATGTCCTATGCAGGTTTCGAATGCTGTGCCACAGGATTGTCAATGCCACCTGGTTCACCAACTTCATCCTGCTCTTCATCCTGCTCAGCAGCATCTCACTGGCAGCCGAGGATCCCATCCGGGCTGAGTCCTTCCGCAACCAGGTGCTGATAAGGCTCTGGAGGGATGGAATGGGTGGGAAGACTGCACAGAGACTCTCATTTCCCTAGTAAGCAGAGACCTGCTTGTTGGGCATCATACCCAGGCAGTTTTTGGTACCTGTGATTTTTCTTCTGAGAGACTTCTATGCAGAGAATAAGGGTCTCACTAAGAGCTCCCCGCTTCTCTTCTGGTCTCCAGGAAGAAAGTCCTATAGCACACCGGATTATCCTAATCTTACTTTATGTCTAAATAGGAATTAGTGTGAGAGGTTAACTCCTGGGTTCAGCCCTGACTGTGGGAAGGCAATATCTTCTGGGAGAGGAGGCCAGTTATGCTAACCTCTCAGTGGATAATAGGAACAAGGTATTACTGTTTCATGCCTTACCTTACTTCTGGTCCAAGAGGTCCACCAGGAGTTCAAGATTATCTTGATTCAAAGTTGTAGTGACTACTGGGGATAGGAACATCCCATCAGCCAGCAAACTGGGCCGCTGGTATGTGCAGCACCCTGAAATGCTGCCTACATGGAGCAGAAGTAGCTGTAAGTGTAACCTTTCAAAGCATGTATGCATTTGTTCTGTTGCAGTGTCTGGCAGAGGGTGTGAGGTCTCACAGGGAGACAGTTTCCCAGGGTACTCAGTACTTTTGGAGATCAGAAGCTTGGGGAATTAAGCCTCATTCACCTGCAACTGAGAGCTTGGTCTTAGACTGCAAGTCTGACCATGCACTGGGGAGAATCAGCAAAGCTTAGGGAAGTTCTCAAGTCTTTTTAGCATCTGATTTGCAGGCTCTATTTAGCTAGAAGGGCTCTCCCAACTACTACACCAGGACATCTGAACATGCTTTCTCATGTCACCAAAATTTCACCAATTTCTGGTACTTCTGTCTCTAGATTCTTGGATATTTTGACATTGGCTTCACTTCTGTCTTCACAGTAGAAATTGTTTTGAAGGTGAGTCTCTCTGTCACCATGGACTTAGCCATGAACAGTCCCTCCAGCTGCCATCAAGTAGGAGATGGCTGTTTGTAGACAGATCCACATAAGCAGATCTTGAGCAGTGGGCATGTCAAGACCTGGAATATGGGTCTAAACTGGGTTTTGGCTATGGACAGTCAGGGTTTTTTGAGAAGAGAGAAAAAATAAAGAAAGCCAAGAAAAGTTGAGCAGGGAAACAGTAATTCAAATAGCTGTTAAGTGCTGCTCCCACTGTGGTCTCTTTGCTTTTCTCCCCCTTAGTTTGCTGAATGATTAGGAAAAGTTAAGTCTCCACACAGTGGAGCAAGAAGGATTTCCAGCTCACCTGAAGTCAGCTCTTGGCCCGGCTCCAGAGTAATGGGTCTGGGCAGGATAGGGTCTGTGAGAAGCCCCTCTTGTGACATCTGTCCCAGGGCTGCAGTGTGACCATGTCTGGTCTGCCTTGCCTGGCCTCTCTACTAACCTCCTCTGCTCCCCAGATGACAGCGTACGGCGCTTTCCTGCACAAAGGCTCCTTCTGCAGGAACTCCTTCAACATCCTCGACCTGCTCGTTGTTGCTGTCTCTCTCATCTCCATGGGGATTGAGTAAGCACCTCCATAATTCCCTAGGGTCAACATTGGTCTCTCTAGCCAGACAGGCCTGTTTGGTGCTGCAGTTCCCCAGGTTGCATAGAGAAGAAACAGTCATCCCTGGGGTGTTAATCATGTATTAGTGCCCATAAAGTGTCTGTTGCCACTACACTGAGAAAAAAAGTATGTAAATGCGTGGGAGGCAAGGAGAAAAAGCTCTTTCCATGTCAAAGTCAAACATGCAGACAGAAATCCGATTTCTGGATTTTCTGGAATTTCTTTCTACAGCCGCCAGTGTTCTTTGGCCTTGTGTAGCGTGATAGCTTAATGACATCTGGTACTTATTGCTCACGCACGATCTTAGCCTGGCCTACCTTGCTGTCTAGTGGGTTCATAACATGCTGACCTGAACAGAGTTGCCCCTTCTCAGCTGTACTTTTCTCTCCAGATCCAGCACCATCTCAGTGGTGAAGATCCTCCGGGTGCTGAGAGTATTGAGGCCTCTGAGAGCTATTAACAGGGCAAAGGGGCTGAAGGTAAGAGAAAAGGTGGGGTAGGTTGTGCTCAACCCATGGGAATCCTTGTGTGAGGTTATGTGACAGGCTTCCGATTCTTTGGGGATTGTCAGAGGGGAAATTGAATTCCAACCCCCTTTGAGAGGCAGTATGAGAAGGGGTTTACCTGGTTCCACTGTTCTTGGTAGGACCCTGCATCCGCCCGGCCTCTCTTCCTGGGTCCAGTCCCTGCAGTGTGTGAGAGGGAGGGCTGAGGGAACCTCCCCCAGGAATGCTCACATGTGCTCTGTCCTCACCTTCTACAGCATGTGGTCCAGTGTGTGTTTGTGGCCATTAAGACTATTGGCAACATTGTGATCGTCACAACATTGCTGCAGTTCATGTTTGCCTGCATTGGGGTCCAGCTCTTCAAGGTGAGAGATGTTCCCCACAGGCAGAAGAGATGTCCTTCTGCTCAGGGGTGCTCTGGGCAGGCTCTTTTAGCCGTAACCCTGAAGGGTTACCTCCAGCACGGATCATATATGAAGGGAGACCTGTCTGCACCAGACGTTCAGGATGAAGAGCCAGGTGACAGGAGGGATGGCAGGGGCCACCCAGGAAATTGTGGGATCCAGACAACACACATAAAGGGACCAGTTCCAGACTTGCTGTCTCAGTTTCTCCTCTCCAAGATGTCAATGCTTATGACTTCTGTTGGCAGTCTGGATGCATCTTTTCTGCAGGAGTTACCTTTCTCTTTGGCCCTTGGCTGCTCTCTGGGAATATTCTTAGAAAAGGCAGAGCCATCTTTGGCCGAGCTCAGCCTTGTTCTAATAATTGGGCCTAAATTCCCAGCTGATGGGTGAGAGCTCTCAGGATTCCCTGCAAACTCAGCAAAAATGTCAGCATACATTAGATTTCATTTACTTCTATACTTATTTCTTCATTTGCTGTTTTCCAAATAGTTGAACACCAGATGGGATGAGTCAGATCTGGGGCCTGGAAAATTTGATTCCTTACAGCACTAAGCCCTTTTTGTCTCAGCCTAGAATTGACAACAGAGTCTGCCACGGCCCCCAAGCTCAGGACTGGATTGTGTTGACAAGTGGAGTAGAAAAGCCTGCAGCACTGTGTGGCACATGTCAGAACTAGCACAGATGCAGGGTGGGGATTGACTGTAATCTGTGAAAAAGGGTTCCAAAGTGGCAGCAAAATCACAGTTTCTCTTGATCTCTGTACAATGCAGGGGAAGTTTTACAGCTGTACAGATCCATCCAAGCTGACGGAGAAGGAGTGCAGGTAAGAGCTCTGGGCAGCACATCCCAGCTGGGTACCCTGGTGAGGCAGCGGCCTGGAGGGTGAGGGCTGGGGAGTGGATCACTTATGTTGCTGCAGGGGGGTCTTGCAGTTAAAAATAGGGTTTGGTGTGTTGTACTGCTCCCGTTTGTTGTACATTGCTCTTCTCCCATTTCTCTTGTACTTTGGGAATAAGCACAGGGCCATCCTCCCCTATCAAGCTGCAGGTGCTTCTTGGTCTGTGCTGCACCAGGCAGGCAGGAGAAGGCATAGCCCTGTAAGCACTGCATCCTTCCCATTGCAGGGGCCAATTCATCACCTATGTGGATGGAGACCCAACACAGATTGTGATGCTTGACCGCATCTGGTTGCACAATGACTTCCACTTTGACAACGTCTTCTCGGCCATGATGTCACTTTTCACTGTCTCCACCTTCGAGGGCTGGCCAGAGTGAGTCTGCATGCAGGGGTAAAGGCCTAGCCAAAATAACAAACCTGTGCTGGAAGTAGGTAATTGCCACCTGGTTCAGATTAACAGCTCTGAACTGGGAGGGCTTTTCCAAGAAAATAAAAGTTGTCCAGGCCAAGGCACCAGACTAACCATCCTGGTGGGGTCTGTCGGGTGGACAGACTGTCCCCAGCTGCACCATTCCACTGATTTGGGATGTCCCCAGAGCTCTCTGTGTCTTTCAAGAAAACACTTTTTTTTTTTTTTGTCCCAGTCAGAGTCTCTGTTTCTTCCCCGTCCCTCCTGTAGGCTTCTGTACAAGGCCATTGATACTAACGCTGAGGACACAGGCCCTATCTATAACTACCGTGTAGAGATTGCAATGTTCTTCATCATCTACATCATCCTTATTGCCTTCTTCATGATGAACATCTTTGTGGGCTTTGTCATCGTCACCTTCCAGGAGCAGGGGGAGAGCGAGTACAAGAACTGTGAGCTGGACAAGAACCAGGTACCGGGACTGCTGGGGCAGGGGGGGTGAACAAGCCCTGCGTCCTACTGCTTTTGGGTGATGAACTGGACCTGATCTGGGTTCTGGCATTTCTGGGGCAGCCTGAATTTGATCAGCCCTTATTGTTGGCACAGCTGGAGCAGGGTTAATCGAAGCTGCACTGAATCCCAGCACCCTGGCTGACTCCTGGCACCAGACAAAAGCCATATAGTATCTTTTCAAGGGCAGGGCAGAGAGGAACAGAATGAGGGAGTGGAATTTTTGCTTCAGGTGACGTGCCCAGACTGACCTGAAGCAAAGGACTGGAGACATCAGAGGAGATAGAAGCAACAGTGAGACCAGCATCAGTAGGGGACACATCACGTGCTGGTGAGGAGAGCTAGATATGAATGCCCGCAGGCTGAAAGGAGGCTCTGGCATTCCCAGGGGCTGATCAAGCCCACAGGTGAAGCACGGGCACTTTGAGCTGACGGTGCCGGGGCTGTTGTGCACATGAACTCTGCACAGATGACCTTAGCCAGCCAGGGAGGGAAACTGAGAAACTCTGAAGTATGGAGAAAAAATTGTTAGTTCCATAAGAACTGCATTAGTTCCATATGGGTGCTCGTTAGGGGTCTCTGCAGAAAGCACAGCAGATACGAGAAATATCATTATCCCTGGCCCATGTTTCTGGGCTAAAGAAGAAGGGGAGAACCAGCTTATGCCTTTGGGGAGCTGCAGCATGACCACTGGTGCTGGCTGTGTGCCAGTGTCAACGGTGCTGGCCCATGCCGTTCTGTGTGCATCAAAAATGTCCCCCTCTTTCCCAGCGCCAGTGTGTGCAGTACGCGCTGAAAGCTCGCCCATTGCGGCGCTACATCCCCAAGAACCCCTACCAGTATCAGATCTGGTATGTGGTCACCTCCTCCTATTTTGAGTACCTCATGTTCTTCCGGATCCTGCTGAACACCATCTGCCTGGGCATGCAGGTAAGGGAGCAGAGTGCCAACCACAGGTAATGTAAGGGTGTCAACAGTGTCAGACCCACCTCCTAAGCTCTATTATTTTCAGAGAATTCCTGGAGAGAGGGTTCCATATGGCAAAACTGGTGCTGTGTACTCAGCATCCCTGGGTATAGAAGCAAAGTGGGGATGGTTGGATGTGGGAAGCCCAGAAAAGGGGATGCAGGGGGGAAAAAATCCTTTTTGCTGACCCTTTCTGAGCCATAGGTGTGTGGAAAAGGGTCTTCATCTAGCGCACACCTCTGGGATCACAACGGAGACTGTGCCTGCCCTTGGGCTCACATAGTTCTTCCTGACATCTCCTCAGCATTACAACCAGTCTGCAGAAATGAACCATGCCTCAGACATCCTCAACGTGGCCTTCACCGTCCTCTTCACTTTGGAGATGATCCTCAAGCTTATGGCTTTTAAAGCCAAGGTGAGAACAGGGTCCATAGGCTTGGGGATGGTCTCAGGTTAAGCCAAGAGCATGCCTTTCCCTTGCATTTGGCATCATTCATGTACAAGTCCTCCCCAGACCTAGGACTCCAGAGAAATTCTCCTCACAGGACTCTTGTGGATCCCATGAGCAGGATCTATAAGCCTCTGGATGGATTCTCAGTTCTCAGAACTAACCTTGCTAGCCCATATAACCCAATGCAGCTAGCCATTGCTCCAGTTTTTGAGGTCATCTTTGTCTCTGCATGGGATTGGGGGCCAGAGACCTGATATACCTTTAGTGACCTCTCTGTACCTTCCTCATTTGATCATTGCAAAATAAAACCAAACACTTCATGACAGGGTCCCAAATCTAACTACAATCCCTCCCCTTGCCTCTGCCTCAGGCCTCAGAGGTTGCACACAATCCTCCTCATCCCAACCAGTGCAGCACTGCTGATTGGGGTGGAGATGAACCACTGCTCTCCAGCTCTCCCTTACTGCCAGTGTAACAGTGGGTTCTGCTCAGCTTCTCTTCAGGTAGCATGGCCGCACAGAGTAGCTGCTAGCTGCTAAGAAGGGAACATATCTTCTGCAGGGGATTTTGTCCCCTTGTCAGCTTCACCTTCAGTTGGCCACCAGAATTTGTATTCTCTTCATTCTGATGATAATTTCTGTTCTGTGGTTCCCTGACAGGGCTACTTCGGGGACCCCTGGAATGTCTTTGACTTCCTCATTGTGATTGGCAGCATCATCGATGTCATCCTCAGCGAGATCGATGTAAGTGCCAGGCCTCTCCAGCACCAGCGTGTCCCCAGGGAGCATCACTCCTTGTACGTGCTTGGGGCCATTCTGCAGTGTTGTGCTAGGGCAGGGACACTGGTGCAGTGCCCAGCTCTCTTGGTGTACCTGTTGGCACACTGTTCTTCCCTCTCTGTCCTGGAAACACAGAGTCCCTGCATCCTCAGACAGCCAGGATCAACCTGTGACATGGATTCATGGAGATCACAGCTGTGACACTGTGAACCTTAAAGCACTATGGGGGATCTCCCCCAGCCTGCCAACATGTTACAGTTGTCCCTTCCCAAAAATGTATAAGCAGAGGGATCCTTTGGGAAACAGTCTATTTAGGATTAGACTATGAAGAGCATGAAGTGTGTCAACCCCTACCCACTCAACTTGCCCTTCTTCCTCATGCACACACCTGGACAGTCACCCACATATTAGTTCTAAGATTGCTGCAGAAGGGAAGAGAAAAGGCTCCCCTGGACAATACAGTTCTGTCACATGCCATGGGAATAGCAGATCAATTTTCAAAGCATTTGCTTTGCATGTGTCCCTGTATACAGTGATGACTGGTCTATACATACACACAAAAGACTGTATACGTCTGCAAGTGTATACCCCATACACTGCGTTCTGGAAGCTATGTACCATATACACTGTGCCACTGCTGGGTGGCTGTAAGCAGGAGCTATATTTGTAAATGTTCTGCAGGAAGCATTTTCAGATTGGTGTGCTAAGAAGTCAGTGTGCCGCTGTCTTTTGCAGGCAACACTGGGACCTTCATACCTGATGGTCTATACTGAAAATGCCCCTGTGCACCTGGAGCCTGTGCTGCATTTAGTAGATCTAGTGATAACTGTAGAAGTAGCTGTGGTAGATTATATTAATCCTACTTATTGATTTAACTTACGTTTTGCTCTCCAGAGCAGAGGCTTGCCAGCTCCAACAGCCTTCAGAATTCTGTCAGAGCTGCTGCCGCTGCTCAGCCCTGCATGGGATGGTCTTCAGCCATCCTGCTCCATGCTGGGGAA